TTTTAGTTTACCCAGCTCTTTTATTTCGTTCCGTGAAGTTTCACAGGCGCATATATATATATATATATATATATATACATACATGTGTATATATTATATATTATATTCAATACAATATTTGTACTGAATATTAACACAAATATTCAACATAATGTATATACATGTATGTGTGTGTACACATATGTATACATATATGTGTGTATACACATACATACATGTATATACATTATGTTGAATATTTCTTGTGAGGACAAAAGATTAAATGGGTTTGGAAGAAACTATAAATAAAAGCTATTGCTAGAATATAAGATATTGATTTTTATGCATTTATCTTATATGATACTAGAGTAGCCTTTCAGTTGATTTTTTTAAGTTTTCTGGAAACATATTACCTGGTAAACAAAGAACAATCATAATTTTGACCTTCCTTAAACTTCTATAACTCCTTTTTAATTATATTGTTTAAAACTTCCAAATTACTCAACAAAAACAGGCTACTAGTATCTTATTTCCTATATTCTAAGATCCTAATAGATATCCTTAATAAATTTTAAAACTTCCTATTCTAGTTTTTGACAACTTGGTAGGAAGTTTAACAATTAAAATCTATCACATGCCTTTTTCATACATTGAAATAGTATTATTCTTTTCTAATCTATGAACATAACATACTTCCTAATATTAAATCACTCATATTCCTTATTCATATTTTCAAGCACATTTCTATACTTCCTTTTTCAGATTTTATTTATGATTTCTGTATTTACATTATTAGGTGAAACTGCAATCTATCATATCCTTTTCTATGATAACATTTTAGTATCCGTAATCTCGTGGAATAAACAGGAAAGCCTATTCTACCTTTTTCTTGATTTTGGTCCTGAAAAACAGAACATAAACCATAAAAACCATCTGAGCCGAAGTGCCTCTGGGACACTATTATATTTCAAAGTTCATAGTTACTGTCTCATCTCTTGAGTCAGTGTTGTTCATTTATAACTTGGATTACTGTTTCAACACATTTTTATTTATACACACTTTTCAAAGTTTTAAATCTTCCCTATATGTGGCTGTTATCACTTTTTTTTACTTCTAACACTTCTAACATTTTCTCAGTGTTTTTAATTANTTTTTTTACTTCTAACACTTCTAACATTTTCTCAGTGTTTTTAATTAGACTGTTCTATTTTCGTTTTCTTAAATTAAATATGTTCTTCATTTAACTAAGTAAAACTCTCTTATATTCATTTGTTTTATAAATATTAATTTCTCTAATTTATTTAGAGTATTCTCAAAACGAATGTGTAATTGATTTATTTTCTTTCTTACTTCCTAATAAATTACACAATGCCCTCAGCAACAGCTGGCCCTCAACTCAAAGATTTTGATGTTGATTTTCACTGTGGTTCATTACTAATTGTCTGCAATTTGTTTCTCTTTCCTTCAGCCACAAGACACTTAAAAAAGTATCTTTAAATGTCCATAGAATTGGGAATTTTTTAAGTTATCTTTTCTGTTATTTGATTTCAATATTATATGATCAGAGAACCTGACCCCGGGTTATAACTTTCTAAAAATGAAGAGTTTCCTTATTCCCTAACGAATGCTCAGTTTTTATAAGTCTTCCATGAATATTTAAAAATATATCATCCTTCTTTAAGAATTCTTCTGTCTTCTGCATTAACCATTTCTTCAGGGCATTAATGGTCTCTGTGCCCTACGTGGCACCTCTCTTTCATGCTACAAGTTTTCCTCAACATGTAAAGATCTTACTGTTCCAGTTGTAATTGCAAAGAGAATACAGTAATTAATACTGATTGTAGATAGGTTTCCTCAAAAACTAGCTAGGTGGTCAATACATTTATACTACAAAATATGGACTTATAATGAGTGAGTAGGGTACAATTAGTGTATAATTCAAATCCATTATTTCTCTCCTTGGCCTCAATGCTCACACACAATCTTCAGAGACAGACTTCTCTACACACACACACCCTTTATTACCAAGTCTTTTGCCAGTTGTGGCATAAAAGTTAAAAGCCCTATCTATTCTGGGACTGGCCCACTTTTGGCAATCTTTCAGTTCAACTGTTCACGAATCATCCACTGTTACTGACTTGGAAATGGGTTTTTCCCCTAACTTCTACTGGAAATAATAGCACACACCTCTTTTGTGTCACTAAGTTCCATGAAGGTAGGTAACATATGTCTTTTTCATCTACAATTATCACTGTCACCTAACACCTTCCACTAGTGTCTGGTATTAAATAAATGTAAATGCATGCATATTTGATTTTGCTATCAATGTGATGTCACCTATTTCTTACCTTATAGAAAGTCCTCTAATTTCTGGTCCACTGATGAAACCCCTCTGCTGTTGCCCTGCCCTGACTTTTCCTACACTTTAAATTTTTTTTCTGTCATTGCAATTGATTGGAACAATTTTAAAAATGAAATTTTAAGAATATGGGGAAGTAAACAAACGTGTTTAGTTAATTATTTGAAGGTGTAGATAAATTCCCTAAAAAGTTTGATTTACTGTGGCACTTATCACTCACATTCAAAATTCAGCTACTACGTATTTTCCCAACCAAAAATCGGACATACCCAAACTAACTGACTCTGAATAATCTATCAGTTCTACTGTAAGCTATGAGCTATAAATGACTGTTTATAAACATTAATATGATTAAGAAAGATAAATAAGAATCTGTTAAATCTTTTTTTTTTTCCAAAATAAATGCAGTTGTTGTTTCATACCTGGCCAGCACTGAAGATCTGAACAAATACTTTTAACAGTTCTTGAATGTTGTCTGTATAAGCAAGAGGAACGTAAAGTACTAAACATATCTAAGTAACCTGGAGGAAAATTGAAAAAAAGTAAATTTTCTATTTACCAAGCTAAAAAAAAGTCACAAAATACAATAATTATATCAAATATTAGAAAGGAAAAGTATGAGCTTAGCCTTTTATTTGTTCATATGACTTTGCTTGTAGGAGTTTTTAAAAATACTGCTATTCTAATTACAGTTCTTCATCGCATTACTACAATCTACCAGTTATCCAACAGATTATCTTTTTGATCTGACATGACTACAGCTGCCAAAGAAATTAAATTCAAACCACAAGGTAAAAGACACATGTGTTTACCTAAAATTACTTTTAGCAAAGAACACAAAGAGATAAAAAACTGCTACTTCCTAGGGACCATTTCAAAAATGCTAATAAATAATGTGATTTAGCACTGTAAACCAGAAGCAGTCATCTTTCTATCTCAAAGCTTCTGGTCACTAGGTTCAAAGACAGTTCCTCCCATAGCTGGAAGCCATCATCTTTGGTGGTCCTTCGAATTCCCACAGTAGACTAATGGGTCCCATCCTACTTTATATTCGTGATCCTCGGGAGGAAGTAAACAGGACCAAGAGAAACTGGTTCTCCTCTATCCCAATACCCCAGACAGAATGCGGGGATTTTCCTAGGAATCAACACACCCCATCCTAATACCTCTGCCTACCTACGCCAAGAAAACAGCTGGCAAGGAACCTTAAAAGGAAATGTAAATATGCTGACCAGAAGACCAACAGTAATCTAAACTACAAAGCTAAGAGAGTAACAAAAATTTTACTCTACTGAACACTTACTATGAGCCAAATAGCACAGTATGGGCTAAATAAACTATTTAGATTATTGCATTTGATCCTGCAAAGTGAGATAAGGAGTTTTTCCTCACGCTTCACATGAGAAAACAGCAGTTTGGGGGACTAAAGTAAATGCCACAGCCACTCAGTGGCAGGAATGAGTCTGATCCTAGTCTACTCCTCACCCTTAACCACTCAGCCTGAGGACTTCTCTCAGGAAGGAGGTAGTGTAACATTAAAATAGAAGCAGATTTTTAGTCCAAGGCCCCAAGCTCAAAAACTTCATTTTTCTCATTCTTGAATTCTTTACTTATACTACAACCCATATACGAAATAAAAGCAATAGAATAATTAGTAAATGAATTAAGTTTATACAAAGTATGACTTCAATCAAAACTTTATCACAAAATGAATTAAACTTGCATGTTCCTGGGCTATTATAGCTTATATTGATTACTGAAATCTGTTCTTCCATCAATTAAAAAAAAAAAAAGTATTTTGATAAGTTCTAACATTTATTGTTTAAGCATCATCCAAAAAGAAACTCATGAAGTGAAACCCCTTCTACAAACCACCAACTTATTTTAACACCAGATTGTTACAAGACTGAAATAAGAAAATACACATTCTTTCAAAAAAAAGGACTACGATTATTACTTCAATGTATTCTCAGAAACTAGCATGGTTCTTGGAATCCAATAAAAGTTTGTCACCTAAAATTAAAACAATACTCCACTATTCCACAATCTATGAAATGTGCTAGCAGATCTTGGGACAAATAAAGAAGCCTAGTGTGGAAAAACCAGTAATTTAGGAAGATGAAATTTCATTTGGTAAAGTCTAAATATAGTCTATAGTTTAGTTAAACATACTGTACCAATATTATTTTCTTAGTTTTGACAAATGCACCATGTTTAAGCAGGCAGTTAACATCAGAGGAAGCCATGTGAAGGACATACAGGAACTCAGTACTATCTCTGCAACTTTCTTGTAAATCCAAAATTATTCCAATATGAAAGGTAATTAAGAAAAGGAAAAGAAAGGAAAGAGGGAAAGAAAGAGAAAAGGAAAAAGGAAAGGAATGGGACAGAACTCAGGAAAGAAGCTAACACACAGTAAGCATAAATAAATGCTATCTGTTAAATTTTTAGTAACTACAACGGCTTACTTAAATTGGAACAAAAAATACACCAACTTACCATATTTATTTTCAAAGAAGGACTGTGCAGAGACATGAGATGTATGCCAATGGGAAGAAACACGCTTGCCTTTACAAAATCCAGGAAGTAGACTGTCTACTAGTTGATCAATCTGTCCAAGTTTTAATTCGGATAATCCAAGGTCTCTTAAATTAAGTACAGGCTGTAAAAGAGTGAGTCAACCAAGTTAGCAATTAATACCAAGATATTTAACTTAAAGAGTTCTTATTAGCTGAAAAATTATGGATTCAAAAAATCTAACAAAGGTATTGTCTTTTTTTTTCCTAATATTTAAAAACTAAACTGGAAAAAACAAAACAAAAAACAAATTGGTGCAAATATTTATTTTTAAAAAGACATTATTTATTTATTTATTTGCCAGAGAAGACAGAGCAAAAGCAGGGGGAGCAGCAGGCAGAGGGAGAAGCAGGCTCCCGGCTCAGCAGGGAGCCCGATATGGGACTCGATTTCTCAAGACCCTGGGATCGTGACCCAAGCTGAAGGCAGATACTTAACCAACTAAGCCACCCAGGCATCCCTGGTGCAAATATTTTTATAGTTTTGGTTCTATGCAGATTAGTCATATGAGGCTTGACAAAGATTAAAAATATATTCCCAATAGTGCCTCTAAATTATGGACTTTTAAAGCTTCCTTCAGTCTCTAATGCCCATAAACAAAAGCACATTTGATTTAAAAAAAAAAAAAAGGTGGGGGGGGATATGCTGTTACCAAAAGACATCTCACTCCTCTGGTCTCATTGCTGAGATCCTACTTTGAACTGAGAGGTTCTGTAATTACCCATACCTACCTTCTAATAAAGAGGAAAATTGAACAAAGTAAAAAATGTGTGGGGGCACCTGGGTGGCTCAGTGAGTTAAAGCCTCTGCCTTCGGCTCAAGTCATGATCCTAGGGGTCCTGGGATGGGCTCTCTGCTCAGCAGGGAGCCTGCTTCCCTTCCCCTCTCTCTGCCTGCCTCTCTGCCTACTTGTGACCTCTCTCTGTCAAATAAATAAAAATTTTTCAAAAAAATGTGTGAAAACCAAGGAAGAAAATACACTCACATTAAAATAGTTCTAAACTAACTGCAAATAGGATAGAAGTGAGTTATTTTCTTGTCCACAGGAGCTGTCAGGCAGACATGAAATACAAATAAAAATTAGCCCCAGACAGCCAGAAGTTCTAGCACGGGAAGCAAAAATAAACAGAACAAGTAAAGTATCAGCTTCTGATGACTGATGTGAAGCTAGATTCATAAAAATTTCACACACGCAAAAATAAATGAATGAAGTTAGATCCATGGATTATACAGTTCTGGACTGATGTCCAGGGGTTTCTCAGCTACTAGCTTTAGGACAAGTCATTCATATTCTTAGAATCAACTGCCTCATTAGTACAATGCCTATGAGACATGCCCTGCCAACTTCACAACAAGGTGGTATGGATCAATGGAAAAGATCACGTGTTGCTCATCTGACATCCAAACACCAAGGCAAGCATAGTTAAAGGTATGATGAAATAAAATACTTAAAAGTGCCCTTTATTAAAAACTACACAATATAAAGCATATCATTACAATGAAAACAGCACTGTAATACTCAAAAGCTACTTTTCAAAAGTTATCCTTTATTATTATTTTCTTAAGTAGGCTTCACGCCCAGCATGGAGTCTGACATGGAGCCCAGTGCAGGGCTTGAACTCGTGACCCTAAAATCAGAACCTGAGCTGAGATCAAGAGTTGGACACTTAACCAAAGGGGCCACCCAGGCGCCCCTCAAAAGCTATCTTTTAGAACGGGAAGCCAAAACGTCTATTTATAATGCAAAGACTTCAAAAGAGAAATGCAGATTCTTAACTAAAAATTACTTCCCTTACTTACTGGCTGTCAGGTCCCTGAAATGTAAGAAGAAATAAGGTACATATAAGCACAGCAATTATCATACAACATAATAACTGCTATTATAGAGATATTTAAAACAAAAAGTGGTAAAGGGCACCTGGGTGGCTCAGTGGGCTGGGCCTCTGCCATCGGCTTGGGTCATGATCTCGGGATCCTGGGATTGAGCCCTGTGTCGGGCTCCCTGCTAAGCAGGGAGCCTCCTTCCCCCTCTCTCTCTGCCTGCCTCTCTGCCTAATTATGATCTCTGTCAAATAAATAAATAAAATCTTTAAAAAAAAAAAAAAAAGACAAAGTAACTTTTCTTTAGGTACAATAAAGCCAGAATTAGACATCTTTAATCATAAAGGAGATAAGCTAAAGACATTTTTGTCTTGTTACAAGTGCCTATTCACAGAGAGACATTTCAGACATGTTTACAACATACTAAATCAAAAAAATCACTGTTTCTGACATAATCAGGGTAAAAACTGTTACCTCACTGCCAGCGGCCTCATGCTCAGGAAATACATCTCGATGGGGGTTTTGCGAAGCCGACGCACTGACAGAAACAGATGTGCTTTTTGGTGAATGGAAGGCATTGATGAGGTGACTCAGAGGAACTGTAACCTAAAAGAAGATCAAAGTTGAAATTAAGTAGTGTGCTTTTTAAAATTAAAACAGAAAAAAAAAATCTCTTTATCGTCAGGATCTGGGATTTGTAAAAAGTTAAACATGCACTGTGCATCAGAACTATGTATTAAAAAATATAAATACTCAGATTTATTGCTAGTAAGAAAAAACCAGGTAAATTCTTCCAGGACAGTAGTCTGGCTATATGAACCCAAAGTATTAAAATTATATTTTTTATTCCCCATTAATCTATTTCCTAGTAGTTTATTCTAAGGAAAAAATCTGAAAAGTGCTTGTATATGCATACATGACAATTTTCATTTAAACATTTAAAAAGCAGTGGAAGGTAGAAATGCCCACCATTAAGACAGTGGGCTAAATAAATGATACCACCACAAAACGAAATATTTCAGACTTAAAAAAAAAAGTAACATATATCCAGAATTTTATTCTTCTCAACTTCCTCACTGCACCATCCTGTTCTCATCCTATTCCAAGTCACCATCATTTATACACAGATTTTCGCAATAGCCCTCCTACCTACTCTCCCCGAACCTGCTCTATTAAAAACAAAGTCAGATCTCATCACTCCTTGGCTTAAAACCCTCCAACAGCTTCTCTTCTCACTCACAATAAAAGCAAAAGTCCTAAGCATTATGACACAGAAAGCCCTCCACGGTTATTACCTTTCCAAATTTATCCACCACCATGTTCTCCTTCATTCTCTCTGTTTCAGCCATACTGGCCTCCTTCCTGTTCTTGGAACAACACCTAGCAAGCTCTCACCTCAAGGACTTTGCATTGTTTTATTCCCTTTTGTCTAGTTTGCTGACTTTAGTTCTTAACTCAAATGTCATCTTCTCTTAAGTCTTTTCACTAGCTAACCTATTCAAAATTTCAACAACCATCCCCTAAAAAAGTATTCCTGCGTGCCTGGGTGGCTCAGTGGGTTAAGCCTCTGCCTTCGGCTCAGGTCATGATTCCAGGGTCCTGGGATGGAGTCCCGCATCAGGCTCTCTGCTCAGCGGGGAGCCTGCTTCCCATCCTCTCTCTCTCTCTCTGCCTGGCTCTCTGCCTACTTGTGACCACTCTCTCTGTCAAATAAATAAATGAAATCTTTAAAAAAAAAAAAATTCCTTACCCTTTTCACTACTCCATGTTCTCTTCTTAACAGTTCTAGTATCTAACACACTTATACATAATCTACTTATTTATCTATACGTTGTTTCTCTTGTTTCTCTCTCAACCAATTCTGACACCAGCTGGTTGTCCAACAATCCAATTCTCAAACTAATTGCCCAGTGTTAGTGTAGAACCCACAAGTTAAAGGCTCAGCCCCCCAAGTCTGTTTCCATTTCAGATAACAGTCAACAAGTTCTAAGCCATTCATACTTCTGATCTACCAGCTATAAATCTGGGGTTTCCTCAATCTCCTCCCCAGGTCTGATAATTTGCTAGAACAGCTTACAGAACTAAGGAATATACTTTACATTTACCGGTCTATTAAGGAAGAAAGGAAGGAAGGAAGAAAGGTAGGTAAGTAGGAAGGAAGGAAGGGAGAGAGAAAAGAAGGAAGGGGAAGGGAAGGAAAGAGGAGGGGAGGAGGTAGGGAGAAAATGGGAGGGAGTAAGGAAGGAAGGAAAGGAAAGAGGGAAAGGAAAGGGAAGAGGAAAGGAAGGAAAGGAGGGAAAGAAGGGAAGTGCTTGGCTGTCTCAGTCGGTTAAGCATCCACCTTCAGTTTGAGTCATGATCTCAGGGTCCTGGGATGGAGTCCTGCATAAGGCTCTCCACTTAGGGGAGTCTGCTTCTCCCTCTTCCTCTGTGATCACTCTTGCTTTCACGCTCTCTCAAATAAATCATTAAAAATCTTTTGGAAGAAAGGAAGGAGGGAAGAAAGGAAGGAAGGAAAGAAGGGGGCCAGATGAATAGGTACAGCTCGAAGGGTCCAAGATGTGGAGTGTATCACCCTTCTGAATGGTGAATCTTTGCACTGAATCTCACCGCTTAAGAGTTTCTAAAGAGATCAATCCCCAGGCCAGCTCTCCCCTCCAAAAAGCTTGGGGAGTTAGGGCTGAGAGTTCCCACCTTCTAATCACTAGGTCTTTCAGGTGACCAGCTCAGCTCTGAGGGTGTCTAAAGACCCTATCCTAAGTCACCTCATAAACATAAATCCAGGTATAATCCAAAGGGGTGCCTCAGGAATAAGACACTCCTACCACACGGGAAATTCCAAGGGCTTTAGGAGCTTCATGACAAGAAATGGGAACAAAGACCAAATATTTACCTTTTATTATATACCACAGTCTCCCACTAAAATCTAAGTTTGATGTGGCAAGGGTTTTTTTTTTCTCCACTCTATTTTACTTTATTTATGTACTTATTTAATGTAAAATTGTTAACAGAGTTAGGTGTCCCTGGAAAAAGACAGACCTAGCTTTCTTGACACAAGGCCCCCCAGCCACCTTGTGAGAGAATATAAAACAGCTTAACAACATGCTCTCATCTGATTTTTATAGCATAAATGAAATTGCGAACAAACCTGTTTTTAAAGAAAATGGCTTCGTCTCTACCTTTCTACCTAAAAGGGAATCTATGCCAACTCCAATAAATGGGAAGATACACTTGGACTTGTGAACTGATGTGAAATACAGAACCTTTGAGTTTCAAGTGTTTTGAAGATTGAACAACCTTGCTCAGCATGGGTGACCACAAAAACCATGTAACGCCATCTACGTGTCACAACTGAGAGAAACCGGGGAATGTTGTCTAATGTCACATAAAATGTACTGTTTTGGGGGGCGGGGGAATGTAAAACAGCCACTATCAGGCCAGAAGCCTAATCATGTCAGGGGCAATAAATCTGTGGTAAAACCCCCAGAGTTCAAAAGTGAAGCCTGATCTTCTCCAGTTATCTTTTCAGGATCTAAATCCCTTTAGCCCTCACCAACTGGAGGCAGAAAACTGTTGATTCTATCCCTTGCCGGCCCCCGGTGACGCTGACCTGGACTCAGGCACTTTAAGACGACTTTTGCCTCAATTCCATGATGTATTCTCCATTCCACAAGCCTCGTCATGAATATGTACAAACCTTTAGCATAAAACTTTCCCAATTTTGTTATTCAGGGAAACATCTCTCTGGGAAAGAGGCCTAGTGTTCTCCTTTACTTGCTGCAAGACCTTTCCTTTTCCTATTCTTTGGCTTGGCTGTATCTTTTGGCTTGACGGTCACCAAGAGACAAACCCAGTTTTCAGTAACAAAATGTCTTTATACAATACTTACATGACTACATACTTTAGATTTTATTTTTGTTTTATTCATACTGTATCCCAGTGCAACAATAATGCACGGTAGATGCCAAATAAATATTTCTTGAGTAAATGAATAAATTAAGTGGGTTCTTACCGTCCAGGCATATCTCATTTTACTGTACTTCACAAATACTGCATTTTTTATAAACTAGAGATTTGTGGTAACAGTGCATCAAGCGAGTCTTCTGGCACATGTTTCCAGTAGCATTTGCTCACTTCACGTCTCTGTCACATTTAGGTAATTCTCACAGTATTTCAAACTTTTTTATTATTCTTGTATTTGTTATGGTTACCTAATGATCAGTGATTTTTTTTTTTTTAAAGATTTTATTTATTTATTTGACAGAGAGAGATCACAAGTAGACAGAGAGGCAGGCAGAGAGAGAGAGAGAGAGAAGCAGGCTCCCTGCTGAGCAGTGAGCCCGATGCGGGACTCGATCCCAGGACCCCGAGATCATGACCCGAGCCGAAGGCAGCGGCTCAACCCACTGAGCCACCCAGGCGCCCATGATCAGTGATTTTTGATGTTAATACTGTAACTGTTTTGGGATGCCATGAATCACACCTATATAAGACACTGAGTTTAATCAGTAACTGTTGTGGGCCTTCTGGCTGCTCCACCAATGGGTCCTTCCCATCTCTCTCCCTCTCCTTGGGCTTCCCCATTTGCTGAGACACAACATCAAAATCAGGGCAATTAATAACCCTACAATGGCATCTAAGTGTTCAAATGAAAGGAAGAGTCACACATCCCTCACTTCCAATCAAAATTTAAATATGATTAAGCCTGGTAAGGAAAGCATGTCGAAAGCCAAGATAGCCTGAAAGCTAAGCCTCTTGTACTATGCCAAGTTGTACATGCAAAAGAAAAGTTCTTGAAGTAAATTCAAAGT